GGAGCTGCCGCTGCCCCGAGCTCAGCAGCTGCAAAGGGGATGGAAGCAGGAGGGGTTGAGAGGGGAGCGGCTCAGCTTGGGGCCCCCTCTTGCAAAACCCCAAATTTGGGTCCCTTTTGCTGCATCGCGAGGATTTTCCTCCAACCAGGAGCACGCACAGCCCCGCGTTCTGCAGGGATGGCCACGCGACGTGCACGATGCCAAAACCCTTTGCACCCCGAAGGTCCAACTACCGAGAAAGCAGAGCCCTGAAAGACCAACGTGGTCCTTTTGCAGCCCCTTTCGGGTTTCTCTTCATCCCTCGGGCCTAAATTCTGATTTCAAGGCTGAGCTTGGTGGGTTCTCCGCTGTGGTTTTTGCCGCCGCGACCGTCCCAAGCCCAGGATGTGTCGCAAGAGCTTCATTGAGGGGAATGGTTTATTTTTCCCCACCAGTGGTTGCAAAATCAGGCAGATGCAACAAAAGCAGCTCGTCCTTGCTTATACCCAGAGAGGAATTCCCCCCAGTTCGCTTTTTTTCAATGTCCTTTTGGAGAGCACGGGGATCCCAGTCTCCCCAAAAAGCCCCGATGCAGAGAGGAAGCTCTGCAAAGCTCCGCCACTCGCTCCAAAACCCGAGGATGAGGAGAGGGGGAGGCTTAAGGACCCACCTTGTTGAGGCTGCTGCGGTCGCTGATGCTCTTGCTGAGCTGCTGGATTTCGGCGACTTGGTCGGCCAAACGCTTCTGCTCGTTGAGCTTCTCCGCCAAAGTCTCCAGCTCGGTGAGGGCCAGCTGGAGGGACAGGCGGTCTGCGTGACCTTTGGGGGTGTTTTTCAACATGTCCTGGGGTGAGGAGAGAAAAAGGATGGGGGATAAAAGCCACCCAGGAAAAATCAGCCCTGCTGGGGATCACAGAATCATTCAGGTTGGAAAAAACCCTTGGGATGAGCGAGTCCAACCATTAACCCCACTCCTCGCCGAAGCCCATCGCTCGGATCTGTCCATGTCTCTCTGTAGAGCCTCCCTACCCTCGTGTGGATCAACAACTTGGTGTCATCTGCAAACTTACTGACGATACACTTTGTGTCCTTATTGAGATCAATCAAGATGTTAAACAGAAATGGTGCCAACACCGAGCCCTGAGGAACATCACTCGTGACCGGCTGCCAGATGGATTTATCTCCCGTGACCACCACTCTTTGGGCTCGTCCATCGATGGCCAGGATGTGCTACGACTGGAAGAGCTTTCAGCGCCTCCGTCACCAAAACCTTGGGGTGGGCCCCAAAGCTGTGATCCAAAAGCACGTCCCCCCTGCACCGCCAAATCCTTTCCTGCAGCACCCAGCCTGGAAAAAACAGGGCGCAAAGCAAGGTGGGTGTAGGTACCTGTAGGAGCAGGATGAACTGAGGGAACCTCTGGATGGGCTTCACCATCAGGCCGTAGAGCGTGACCCGGTCGGCGCTGGCCATCTGCCTCTTCTGCAAGGAGGGAAAAAAATTAAAATGCCAGCAAAAAACAAAGAGTTTTCATCCCTCACGGTGACCAGCAGGCACCACGTGCCCACGTTTGGGTCCTGCTGACCTTGAGGAAGTCGAGGAAGGCAGGTTTGGTGAGACAAGCCTTCTTGATGAGGGACATGGCGCTGGTGAAGTTGTTGACATAGTCGCTGTAAACATCCAGCACCATCGACTTGGAGAACTGGGGAGAGCGCAGGAGGAGAGCCGTGATGGCGGGGGGCTCTCCCTAAAAGAGCAGGCTCGAAGCACGGGGGTGTTTGTGTTTTTGGAGCGATGCTGAGGATGCTTGCAGTACCCTAGGTCAGGGCTGCATCCCTTAAGTCCTCCAACCCGCTGCAGAGGGGTTCAAGGAGAGGTTGGAGAGGGGTCCTAACCAATTTTCCCTCCTACCGAGGCCACAAAGAGGTCCCCGATCTTCTCGGCCGAGTCCCACTCGGAAACGCGGGAGGCGAGGGCGATCTGGAACATGGAGTGGCACTGCAGGATCTCCTTCAGCCGAAAAAACACCACCTGGCACTTCCTAGCGCTCAGCACCTTCGGCTCCATCTCCATCAGCGGGTTCCTGTAATCCT